GAACTGACCTGTGTGAGTCCTCTTGTGAATCTTTAGGTTCTCAGATCGTGCAAAAACTTTCTCGCAGCCGTGAAAGGGGCAGGGGAAGGGCTTCTCCCCGGTGTGGACCCTGACGTGGTTCACCAGCTTGTATTTGGCTTTGAAAGGCTTCCGGTCCCTGGCGCAGTTCTCCCAGTGGCACACGTACTCGGAGTGCTCCGGTCCGCCGACGTGCTCCACGGTCACATGGGTGACCAGCTCATACATGGTCCCGAAGGCTCTGGAGCACGGCACCTTGCCGGCCCCCTCCCTGCCGTCACTCCACTTGCACACCAGCTCGTGCTTCACAGCCTGCTTGGCGCACCTGAGGAACGCGTCGGCTCCCCCGCGCTGAATCGCCATGTTCAGGGGCTTGTAGAGACCCAGGAACTGCGTGACCAGTTGCTGGCTGCTCCCCTTGGGGCTGATGCTTTGGCCATAGGAGTGGGTCCGGGTGAGGAGGTCGCCAGGCAGACTCAGCATCATTTGGCTCCCGAGGTCGCGGGGCGCGTCGGTCGAGGCGTGGGCCTGCTCCTGGTAGCTGGTAAAAAACGCATGGCTCCTGTTGTCCCTGCAGCCAGCAAAGTCACGGTACCTTCCAATCCCGCCATGTTGGTTAGCTCGTGATGCCAGTTGATCAGTGACGGGTGGCATGCCGGCTCCAGAGAGATTGGCTCCAATGATAATGCCCCTGGGGCTGTGCTCTAACCGGTGACTGGGGTATCCAGAGTCTGGAAAAGTGGCAACCGAGTGGTCAGCATATGCACTGGACCTCGTCTCGGGGTAGTCTCGCAAATTGTGCGAGGGGCAGAGTTTTAAGGAACTGCCAGTGGGGTGTCCCATGTGCTCTCCTGCCAAAGGTGGCAGCACCACGCTGGGTTCAGTATTGCTCTCCCCGGGGTTGACGCAAGAGAGAGGGCAGCCACTAAACCTCGACAGGCTTGTCATGTTTTGTTGTGAGGTTTTTTTTTTTTTTCTTTTTCTTTTCTGTCTTGCTTTTTTTCTTTTTTTGGCTATGAGTTGGCAAAATCAACCAGTTCAGCACTCAGGATGCACCCAGAAAATTCTGTTCCCATTTCCCTGGTTGTGTATCATCTGCATGTGAAATTGTCGGCCGGGAACATCGCAGGAGGAGGAACCAGACTCAGTTTCGTTAAAGTTGGTGTGAGTCCCATGCCGTTCACTTTGCCCTCTTGATTTGTGGCAATAACCGTGGTAGTAAAAAAAAAATGCTCCGAAGCAGGCCATGGTGCAATATAAAAGCACAGCAGGCAAACGTGCTTTTTAAAAAAGGGAGCTTTGGGATTGGTTGGAATGCGGGGTGATTGACAGGCGCTGGGTTTGTTTTAAAAGGGACACGCAGGAGTTCACGGCACGACTCCGTTTTCAAATATCGCAGAGAAAATGCTTTGAAATGTGCCGCGGTGCTACTCCTCAATACTGCTGCCTCTTTAACTTCAGGCTGCCTCCTCATTAGGATCCCTTCACCATCAATCCTCCCACATGTAGAAATTAAATAAATACATATATTTCAAAAAAAATGCACAAGTTTATGTTTACTAATTGTGGTCCAGAAGTCAAGTGATTAGATTTAAGCATGAGCAGAACACAATCAAAGTCTGCAGCGTCGTTTTTTTTTTTAATTCATTCCTCTTCGGTCTTGCCAAAACAACTTCTCCTGCCTTGCAAGAACAATAGAGGCTGGTCTGAGCGTGTCCGGGCCAATTATGCTCAGAACTTGCTTTATGAGTGGAAATGCAACACTTGAAAACACAGAAAGTTACACAAAACCCACAACTAAAAGGACTGTTTTTGTTTGAAAATAGGCACTAATTATTGCAATATTTGTATTTCTCATCGATTTGGAGCGTTTAAATCATTTTTGTTTGGCAAATACATAGAAATCTGCAAGTCTCCGTGAACAAAAGTTCACTTTATTAAAGCAACAAGTAGCAGAATGGGGGGAAAAAAGGGACCAGATCTTTAAAAATATCCTTTCATTTAATTAACGTTTACAGCAGTGCCATTTGGGAGAACAGCAGAACAGGCTGTCCTGTTGTATACCTCAGAGCTGAATGTAAACCATCTCTGTAAATAAAACCTCTCTCATCAAAGCCTTTAAATAAAATAATAATCTTCAAAAAGTATAGCTACACCATGCGTCCTGAAGGCTGGCACACATTGCTTTATATATAAATAAATATATATTTTAAAAAAAAGTGGTTACATAAAATGTAGATTGTGAAACGTGACGAGCTGCTGAAAGAAAACTTAGTTTCTGTGGGGTTTTGTGAGGACACGCAGCTCCCCACGCTGCTCTCGGAGCGCTTATTTCTGCGCATCATCTCGCTTCTTTTTTTTTTTCTTTCCTCCTTCATGGCTCAGCCTCTGTCTCCTCTACCTCGGCCAGTTTCACTCAGATTCTTTCATCTGTTACTTTTATTTAAACCCACGCCACGAGGCGTGGGCTCCCGGCTGTAGCTTATCAAGGTTTAGGGTAAAAAAAACCCTCTTATTTCTAAAGGCTCACTCTATAGCTGAGTTTCTAACTTTTTTTCCCCTGCTTCTTAAACGATAAAGAAATGCCTTTCCACACTGCTGCCCTGACGTCACTGCCAGTGGATTCTATAGGCAGAGGTGAAAACAAGAGAACCCACTTGAGATAAAGACCCGTGCAGGCCCAGAACTGGCCTAAGTCTGTCTGATTGTACTGGATGCTCGTGTTTGTCCACCTTTGAACTGATTTATTCTGTAAATAATTGAGGACAGAGGGCTGATAAAGTCTAAATGTTCACCCTGTCGCTCAGACCTGAGAGCTCAGTGAGTTTATCTGCAGCAACATGAGGAGAAAACTGGACTTATGATTCTGAGAGGCTGTTTAGATTCAGGTGTGTGTGTGTGTGTGTGTGCCTGTGTGTGTGTGTTGAGCCTGTTTATGACTGTTTATTTCATTGATATTATTGCACAAAGAAAATTCATGCTAAAGGCTTCAATTTTAGTTTGTGGAATTTTAAAATTCCCTGAAAAGTTGTTACAGCTTCATTACACATTTAATTAGGCAATTTAAATATAATAATAATTGTCTTATTTGTTTGAAACTCTTTAAAAAAACAAAAACAAAGTAAAATAAACTGATAAATCAATGGTAAAAAAATCTAAATTCTAAAGGCTTCAATTTTAGTTTGTGGAATTTTAAA